CTGCAACTCGTGCGAGTCGTCTCTCCTGTCAACTCACACATTTTCGTCGAGTACATCCTGCCTAGGTTGCAGGGCGCCATCGTCGCAAATGCAAACATACCAAGCCCGTTAGTGAGAGCCACCTATGCATCATGTTTGGGGAGTCTTGCAAACACCGCCGCACGATTCCTGGAGCTGGCAGCAACGTTGAAGGCGGACGGCACTTTGACCGTCGCCGACCCCGAGCTTGAACCTGGAATCGAGGCCGAGGCCGCCTTTGATGGCCTCTTCGACGATGCGCAAAGGGAGCTCTATGAGATGTTTGAGCTACACACAAAAGCCTTGGTTGAAGACCCCGATGTGTCTGTTCGCAGAGCATTTTTGACCTCAGTGCCCAATCTGTGCCTCTTTTTCGGCCCAGCGGAGGCAAATGATATCCTTCTCACACATCTCAACACCTACTTGAACGACCGCGACTGGATGCTGAAGTGCGCCTTCTTCGAGAGTATAGTGAGCATCGCTAGTCTGGTGGGCAGCGTCAGCCTGGAGGAGTTCATGCTACCTCTTATGGTTCAGGCTCTGACTGATCCAGAAGAATTCGTCGTCCAGGCGGCTCTGCATTCTTTAGCACAATTGGCAAGGCTGGGCCTGCTTTCAAAGACGAAGATGTGGGAGCTTATTGATGTGGTTGTACGCTTTACGATGCACCCGAACGTCTGGATCCGAGAATCTGCCACAGAGTTTCTCTCTGAAGCCACACGCTTTCTGTCTCCGGCAGATGTCAGGTGTATCGTCTTTCCCATGGTCAAGCAATACCTGAAAACGGGAATGGTGCCCGAGTTTGCTGAGCTCGCACTTCTGGACGCTCTGAAGCGACCCATGTCAAGAGCTGTGTTCGACCAGGCCTTGATGTGGGCGCTCAAAACTGACAAGGGCGTATTCTGGAAATTATCGCAGCAGATTCGGTCGTTCTCTTATGGGTCCCTCCCGAAGACCATCACTGGCCGAGCATCTAAGGACACGCTCAGCAAGGTTTCGAGAAATGACGAGGACGACCAGTGGCTTGACCGACTGCGAAACCTCGGGCTCGGGCCAGATGATGAGTTCAAACTTCTTGCGTTACGAGACTTCATCTACCGCGTCAGCAAGATGAAATCAAGAGACGGCGTCGATCGAGACCCAGCCAAGTTAAACGAAGTCATCTCCCTCAAAAGCCTTGGCCTTACACCGCAGACGGTCTTCTTCGACGAGGAGCCGCTGCAGCAGTCTACGTTCCAACCTGATGTAGATCAGAAGGGCCCTTATACAATCGCCGACGCTCTATTGGACGCTTCTATGACTATCGACGATTCCACAGGCAAACGGAAGTTTGCAGCCCTCAATAGTCTGCGTACGCGCGTGGTGGAAGACCAAGGCTCTTCATCACGGGACGTATCGCGCGTCAGATCAATTGACCCATCGAGACGCTCGTCAACCGGCCAAGGCAAGCTCACAGTAGGAAGCCCGACGGATGACAGCGCTTCGGTTCACGATCAGCCTTACGCAATCCGGAGGGCAATCCGACATCAGTCGAGCGCCTTGAGCTTGCTGGATCGTAAAGATAGCAACAAAAGCATACCCGAGACTGGCATGTCTGGCACTAATGCTTTCGGGGAAGTGGAAGGACCTTTTGCCCAGGCGCCACTTGTCCGGCCCGACATGCAGGATCGCCGGACCAGTACTACTAGTGTCGTAACGAAGTTGAGGCCGAATCACTCGTATGAGGGATCCGACCCTAGCATTCTCAAGATGCTAGATTCGATGTACCAAGACAACTACCCCCATGACATCGCCGAATTTGGGCCTATGGTCACCCCCATTACTCGTCGCAAACCAAACCGCTCTGTTGGCCAGTCTGGCGATGACCCCTGGCGACCAATTGGCCGCATGGTTGCTACTTTTGCAGAGCACACCGGTGCGATCAACCGCATTGTGGCGTCTCCAGACCATGTGTTCTTCGTTACCGGTGGCGATGATGGGAATGTCAAGGTCTGGGATAGTGCCCGACTTGAGAAGAACATCACGCACCGGTCGAGGCAGACACACAAGCACGCTGAAGGAGCTAGAGTTCTTGCGTTGTGCTTCATCGAGAACACGCATTGCTTCATCAGCTGTGCAAGTGACGGCAGTGTACACATTGTTAAGGTCGAAACAGTATCGGCCAGCGGAGTACTACGGTACGGTAAATTACGTCTTCTCCGAGAGTATCAGCTTCCCAAGGATGAACATGCCGTATGGTGTGAGCACTTCAAGATCGACAGTACCTCAGTTCTGCTGCTGGCGACGAACCGGTCACGCATACTAGGCATTGACCTTCGGACGATGAATTTGCTTTACACGCTGGAGAACCCGGTTCATCATGGAACTCCTACATGCTTCTGCGTGGATCGCAAGAGAAACTGGCTATGCGTAGGAACTACACATGGCGTTCTCGACCTCTGGGACTTGAGATTTCGCATGAGGCTCAAGGGCTGGGGTGTACCCGGCAAGAGTGCGATCTACCGGTTGTGCATACATCCTAGCAAGGGACGAGGTAAATGGGTCTGTGTCGCTGGCGGGACGGGTCAGGGTGAAGTTACAGTTTGGGATCTTGAACGTACAATTTGCAGAGAGATCTACCGGGTCGGTGGCAACAAGGAAGGGCCCAAGGGGTACGAGCCATGGGAAGTGGACGAAGACAAACCTGAGGGCATGCTGGGCCGGTTTGCGACCAACATCGAGACGAGCGGAAGTGGAAACGCGGACCGCGGTGTTCGTGCCATGATCGCTGGCACAGGCGCCACCGATGACTCGCGAGATGTGCGACATGCCTTCATCGTCACCGGCGGCTCAGACAAGAAGCTCAGGTTCTGGGATCTTTCCCGCATCGAAAGCTCTACGGTGTACAGCGGGTTGCAAGTTGACGACCCAAGGCCTACGTTTGCGGCTTCTCACCCGACAACATCCATGACTCTGAACACGGAAAGGATTCCGAGGCAGAACGCGACAGCGTCCAACGCGGCGGGCGGAACGAAGGGGAAGGTCACCGGGGGACGACCAACGCGTTCTACAGTTATATCTCTTCAACATCAGCAGCTGCTGCGATCTCACTTGGATTCGATTATGGATGTGGCGCTGCTGGAGTTGCCTTACAGCATGACTCTGTCAGTGGACAGGTCTGGGGTGGTTTTTGTTTTTTCGTGATGGCACACGCGAGGGCGTTAACTTGGGATCGTTGGCATAGATACCTTAAAATACATAATGAATATGAGATAGAATGTTTTCTTCACATCTTAAGTACCTTCAGAGCACGGGAAAGCGACGTTGTTACAGGCACTGTGCGATAGCCGCTGTTTGGCGGGTCCCTACTGTGTACATATTTAGATGAACACTGTACGCACAGGCGGGGATGATAGCTCTTATCAGACGGCCGGCCAAATTTTGTGGATAGCCGCCTCGTCGACCGCCAACTTTTCAGCCTTGCCTGTTCGTCACGACACCCACGCGACAACCCAATTGCGACGGCGCAAGAACACCTGCGCATCTCGAACACACGACGACGATTTCTTTGTACACGACGACAAATTACTGCACCGTACCTAAACTAAATCCCTCGCAACAGCGCCACACAAAAACCATCCATCATAACCCCGAGGTAACAACAGCCCAAGATGAGGCTCACGGCGGAGCTCATCAGGGACTCGCTTTCCTACCTGAACCCGCTCAAGGAGCGTGAGCTAGATCTCCGAGGTGCGTGAAAAGAGCAGATGCTACACTACTCATGATAAATGAGCTATAGAGGAACAGAATTGATAGCGGGGCCCGGATGAGGGTTTGTGTAGGACATCGAATCCCGGCGATTGAGAATTTGGGTGTTGCTGGCGTGAGTTCTTTCCTTTCTCCTCCTTCCTTTCCAAAGGGCGGGCGCGTTTGCTCTCTGCGGAGGCTGTATCCCGACGACTGGCGAATTCGTCTTGCTGACTCTTGCGGAAAACAGCCCCACGACTCCATCGACTTCACAGACAACGACATCCAGGTGCTGGGCAACTTCCCGCTGTCGCCGCGCATCTCGACGCTGCTGCTGGCGCGCAACCGCGTGTCGAGCATACAGTCGACGCTGCCCAACGCGATCCCGAACCTGCAGCAGCTGGTGCTCGCGGCGAACAACCTGGCGGAGCTGGCGGACCTGGACGCGCTGGCCGGCTTCAAGCGGCTGACGCATCTGGTGCTGGCGGACAACCCGGTCACGAAGAGGGAGAACTACCGGTACTGGGTCGTGTGGCGGTGTCCGACGGTGCGGTTCCTGGACTACGGCAAGGTCAAGGAGGCGGAGAGGGAGAAGGCGAGGGAGCTGTTTGGGACGGCGGAGGAGCCTTCTGCTTTGGCTTCCAAGGTACGTTTCTTGTTCTGTTTCTTCTTTCGTGACCGAAAGAACATAAAGGCTAATGCGGCGAATTCTTTGCGGCAGATCATGGGCATCAAGTCCAAGACGCTCGAGGTTTCCGCGGCAAACGGCGCGGCGGCCCCGTCGAAGCTCTCGAGGATAAAGCTCACGGACAAGGAGAAGGAGCGGCTGAAGGAGATGATCAAGAAGGCGGACAGTCTGCAGGAGATTATCCGTCTGGAGAAGATGTTGACGGAGGGGACCATCCCTGCGGGAGTACACCTCGATGGAGACGCTACCATGGAGGGTTGAGCTGGAGGAAAGGTCACCGGCGAGACGATGCTTTTTTATTCTCATGGACTGGCGTTATTATGAACAAAAAGAGAGGTTTCAGTTTCACTTTGATGCGGATCCGTGCTATGGATGTAGAAAAAGAGAAAAAAGGTCGATTTGATATTCGTACACTTCGTTAAGAGGCTATGTGCTACCTAATTTGATGGTGCTGGGGGTGTGTGGTTATGTGTGATTTTGGTCTGATTAATCCAAAAAAAACGCCTTTGACCATTATTTCGGCGGGTGATCAGGGGGTCCATGTCCTAGGGGCAGGTAAAAAACGGTTTCAGCCCGTCATGTCGACGTCGCCGTCAGCCTGGCGAGCCTCGGCCTCAAGCTGGGCGTTGGGGTCATCGTCCTGGATAGCAGCAGCGGCAGCGGGGCCAGCAGCGGTGCCGTTGACGCCGTTGGTGGTGGACTGGCGCTTCTTAGGTTCCGAGTCGGCCTTTCTGGGGTTCGCGCGGGAGATTGCGGCTTGGTCCTTGATCTTCTTGTAGGGGATCGTCTTTGGGATAACGTCCTCGAGGAATTCGAGGTTGTCGTGGTGGTTGACGGCGTTTGCTTCAGGTGCCGCAGGTTTCAGTTTTGTTTCTCTCTGAGGAGGGGTTGAGGAGGAGGAGGAGAAGCTTACCGAGATCCTTGTACTGGACGTTGCGGCGGGGTTTGCGGTCCATCTTGGCCATGTTTTGGCCCTCGTTGGCGAGGTATTGGATGAACATCTCCTGTGAGACTCGTGAGTGAGGGTTTACTCTGGAGGAGGGTGGGCAGGACTTACTGTTGCGAGTGTGATGACAAAGGCAGCATTGTTGGAGCAGATGCCTATGTCTGGGTCTGTGGCAATGATCTTCTTCACGCGGGCCACTGTGAGATTGTCAGGTGGACTGGCTGGAGGAGAGCGTGCTGAGAGGGCAGCATACGAGGCAGAGCCGGCTGGCCTGTTACCTCCTTTCTTGGAGGGATGGCGTTGGTGTTGTAAGGCATCTTTGATAGATGGGTGTGAAGTTGATTGTGTAAAGGGTCGCAAGACTGGAGCCTGTATGAGAGTCAGTGAGAAATTCTTCCTGGTGATTGTGACCTTTAGCTATGGTGAGTGACAATGCCTCAAGTGAAAGTGAGATCTCAAGCTACACTTCCCGAAGCATGTATAAGTAGACCGCAGACGGCTGGTATGAGTGAAAAGACCCCCAAAAAGTTGCTCGTGAGGATATTGCCTCAATATTGATGTTTCCAGAGCCGCAGAGGCCGTCAGGGGAGGAATTAAAAGGGTTTCACCAACCTCTTCAAGACTCAGTGTCTATGCCTGCCGAGGATGGCGAGGCAAAAGGGGCCTGATCGGGCTCGAGATCTCTTCTGCAGTCAATCAATGATGAGATTGTACTCTCGAGTGTCTGATTTCTCTGTGTTTGAGGTAGCCGTCGTGGTAGAATCGCCGAGTTCGTCGTTGAGTGAGATGTCTTCGCCAAGGTGGTCGTCAAGGAGAGGCTCACTTTTGATAGAGTCGCGCCAAAAAAAGGCCAGTGAGACGCGACCACTGACAACGCGCTGGTTTGAACCGCTGCCCGCAGCCAAGCCGCAAAGCTTAAGCACCAATTGCAGGGGGGACCCAGTCGACCCAGTCGACCCCAGTGTACCATCATTGGAACCCCCCCATCCCCGGCGCCGGTTCCAGCGCAACCACCAGCAGCATCGCCCGCAACCTGCATTGGGGATTCCCCAGAGATCAGCAAGCTCAGGACAGACTACCGATCGCAGACTACCTGCACCAAACCCCCTTCCCTGTCAAATTATCACCGAAGCGACGAAGCAAACCCACCGGCGACGTTGGAACGAGGGCATAGGTCGCCCGCGAAGAAGCACCACCTTGCGCCCAATTTGCCTCGCTGTCGCGAACATGAGCAGTGCGCCGCCGCCGCCGCCCAGCCGACAATGACTTCACGAACCACATCCTTCTCCCACAGCCCGCACCGGCTCCCGCGCCCTTCCATCACATCGAGGCTCTCGTTTGCCGTGTCGAACGCGGAGCAGAGCGACGATGACGAAGAGCAGAACGAGGCAGGCGAGGCCGCCCCCGGCCCGCGGCAGCAGCAGCAGCAGATCGAGGAGGAGATCGCCGAGATCAAGCGTTACGAGGACTTCACCACCATAGATTGGGTCCAGGACGCCGCCCGAGAGCAGGCGAGGAGGAAAATGCGACGCCGCCGACGCGCGGGCATGCTCGATACCGGCCAGGCTGGGTGGAGGTACCGGCTGCGCGAGAGCTACGACGCTGCGCAGGGCTGGCTCGTGGTTACCCTGATAGGCATCACGATCGGCCTCAATGCTGCCTTCCTCAACATCATCACCGAGTGGCTCTCGGACATCAAGATGGGCTACTGCACGACGGCCTTCTACCTGAATGAGAACTTCTGCTGCTGGGGCGAGGACAACGGTTGCGCCGAGTGGCACAAGTGGACGGGCTTCGGCCCCGTCAACTACCTTCTTTACATCATCTTCGGCACGGCTTTTGCGTTCACGTCGGCGACACTCGTAAAGTCGTTTGCTCCGTATGCGGCGGGCTCAGGCATATCGGAGATCAAGTGCATTATCGCAGGCTTCGTCATGAAGGGGTTCCTGGGGTTCTGGACCCTGCTGATTAAGTCCGTCTGTCTGCCCCTGGCCATTGCGTCTGGGCTGTCAGTTGGAAAGGAAGGGCCCAGCGTGCACTACGCCGTGTGCACCGGAAACGTCATCTCGCGGTTGTTTGACAAGTACCGCCGCAACGCCGCCAAGACCCGGGAGATCCTGAGTGCTTGCGCCGCGGCGGGTGTCGCCGTCGCTTTCGGCAGTCCCATTGGTGGAGTGCTTTTCTCTCTGGAGGAGATGTCGAGCTACTTTCCATTGAAGACGCTCTGGCGCAGTTACTTTTGTGCCTTGGTAGCGACAGCTGTTCTTGCGGCCATGAACCCCTTCAGGACGGGACAGCTTGTCATGTTCCAGGTTCATTATGACCGCTCTTGGCACTTTTTTGAAGTGGTTTTCTACATTATTTTGGGAATATTTGGTGGTCTCTACGGTGCTTTTGTCATCAAGTGGAATCTGCGGGCTCAGGCTTTCAGGAAGAAGTACCTTACCAAGTACGCCATCGCCGAGGCGACGATTTTAGCCGCCGCGACAGCAATTATTTGCTACCCTAACGTCTTCCTCAGGATTGACATGACGGAAAGTATGGAGATCTTGTTCCTGGAGTGCGAGGGCGCCGAAGACTACCATGGTCTATGCGAGCCGGACAAAAAGCTTTCCAACATCCTGTCGCTGGCTCTGGCGACGATTCTGAGAGTTCTCCTCGTCATCATTTCATACGGCTGCAAAGTGCCTGCTGGAATTTTCGTTCCGTCGATGGCTGTCGGCGCTTCATTTGGACGCACAGTGGGCATCATTGTCCAGGCGATCCATGAAGCGAACCCCACGAGCGCCTTCTTCGCAGCTTGCAAGCCAGACGAGCCTTGCATTACCCCTGGCACGTACGCTTTCCTCGGCGCAGCTGCAGCGCTCAGTGGCATCATGCACATATACGTGTCCGTCGTGGTCATCATGTTCGAGCTCACGGGAGCCCTGACCTACATTCTCCCGACCATGATCGTCGTCGGCGTGACAAAGATCGTCAGCGAGCTCTTCGGCAAAGGCGGCATCGCCGACAGGATGATCTGGTTCAGCGGTTTCCCCTTCCTAGACAACAAGGAAGAGCACAACTTTGGCGTCCCCGTATCGGAGGTCATGCGCACTGAAGTGACGTTTCTACCGGTCAATGGCATGTCGTTCGCACAGCTCGAACGCCTGCTGAAAGACGATAAATATCAAGGCTTCCCGATCGTCGAGGATGAAACCTCCAAGATTCTGGTCGGCTACATTGGCCGCACCGAGCTGCGCTACGCTATCGATCGTATTAGACGTGAGAGATCCATCAGCCAAGACGCAATGTGCAGCTTCTCGCCACCTCCAGCGTCAATGACCCCGGTCACCCCAACCGTCGCCGTCTTTCCCAGCTACATGTCCACCTCGTCCGTCGACTTCAGCCGCTACATCGACACCACGCCCGTGACGGCGCACCCCCGCCTCCCGCTCGAGACGGTGATGGAGCTCTTCCGCAAGATCGGCCCGCGCGTCGTGCTCATCGAGTACCACGGCCGCCTGTCGGGTCTCGTGACGGTCAAGGACTGCCTCAAGTACCAGTTCATGGCCGAGCACGCCGAAAACCCGCGCGACGATTCGGCGCTCGCCGAGAGCCAGGAGAAGCTGTGGAGCGCGATGCGCCGCGCTGCCGGATGGGTGTCTGATAAGGTGGCGCTGGCCTCGGGAGGCAGGGTGAGGTTGTCGTCGTTTGACGAGCGGAGGTCACCCGGGGCCCGGCCGCCCGGGGCGCAGATTCTCGACGGGGATGAAGACGATGCTGATGACGGCGCGTTGGAGCTTGAGAACCGGTGATTTTGTGGTTATGTACGATGTTGACGGGTCATGGGGAAATATGTACGGATGGCGTTATGGGCATTTACAAGGTCGGCTTGGGCTTAAGACGAATAGATAGATTGCGGCAGGCGGCTGCGAATGTCATGTGTATTCTTGTTTGAGCGCCGTGTCTTGTGTGGGACGTCTTGGGATTTGATCCCTATGGTTCGCAGCTCCATTGTTCGCAGCCTCTGTGGTGATGGCATTGCAGTCTCAACTAGGAGAGGACAAGACATGCTCCAGTGTCTGAGAAGTAGGGTGTGGATGTCACTTGTGTGAGTTCGTACTGCTAATGTCGTGGTAGAAGGAAGGAAGGAAGGTGTCTACCTAGGTACCCCCCGTCACCTTGAGGACCCATCCAGCAGCGAACACGGAAGGAGCACACCCACCTTTGCTACCTACCTCATGCCCGTCCATGATACCTGCCTGGCTCGCCCACGAGGCAAAGGGTTATAGACGACGGAGCCGCCCTCACTTTCGGTTCCCCAGAGACAACTAGCACGCAGTGCCTCTGGGGCGTGCATGGCTGAACACGTTAAACTCGGAGTGCAAAATCCTCGGATTTTCATAGGATCGAAACCCAGGGCCCTGGGTTCGATCTGAACTTTTGGACCCTTTTTGGTTTTCTTTTTTGTCTTGATCTGGTTCTCTTTTGATATTTGCAGCACACATCCATCCACCCATACCTTAGGGATTTTTCAAGAGTATGCTGCCCTCTCTTTTCCGATCAAGCGGTTGCAGCGTTATTCTGGTGACCCAGTTTAGTATCACCATACACTACGGGGAAGGGAGGCAAGATATCTACTTCCCCTTTTTGGTTGAGTAAGATAACTTCTGGTTCAGTTACCTCTTCTGCCCAAGCACAATTCGAACACGCCACCTCACTGACTTAAGATATGTTCGTTCGGGTATGGGCCGTCCCTTCCTGCTCTTGCGTGTTGTGAAATTGGCTGAGTACTATCCGCTCTCACAGCGACATCATAGGCTTAGGCTTGAGCAGGGTGACGTTAGCTGCCCTGTGTTTTCACCGGTGCTACTTTACCCTAGCCTGACAAACGACCAGTCCTGAAGTTACATCTTACGGGATGCTGCCTTGCATCGCCCTGTATATTCAAGGGTATCGTCTATATGATGTTTTCTTGTACATATCATCCAACATGAACACTTTCCAAATGCACCTCTCTCCCTTCTATGCCTTTACACGGCCGTCAAGCGCGATATTCATGAGCCGAAAGGTCTCCCAGATCAACTATGTCCTCGTCCTCGGACTCATCTTTATCCTCCTCGGCGCCGTCTGCCGGGGCAAGGCCGGGCTGCTGGGGCAAAGGCGCGTAGTCGGCGGACTTGTCCGCGGCAGTCTCGTCCTTGCGGCCGATGATGACGTTTCCGGCGACCAGGAGGGCCGCGCCGAGCCACCAGAGCGGCGGCAGGGACTCAGAGAAGATGGCGAGGCCGAGTAGGGCGGTGATGACGAAGTTTGACGAGGTGTTCATGATGGACACCTGAGTGGTGGAGCTGCCCTTGGCGAGGGCCTTTGTGAAGAGAGTCCACATCTGCGACGGGTTAGGCCCTTGCTTACGTGCTGGAGAGGGTTGAGAGACTTACGATGCCATTGAAGACGAGGTTGAGGCCGAAGAATACCTGAGACGAATCAGTAAGTGCGATGAGATGGATTGAGGGATCAGTCGTACGGCTCGCAGGGCAACCTCAAATGCACCTTCGATATCCGAGAGGTGGAGGAAGTTGGAGATGGCTTGCGAAATTGTCGTTGTGAGTTCCGTTGTGGTCCTAGTTTGATTGTGAGTGAGACATTCAACAAAGAGGCTTGTTCCTCTTCTTTGAAACGCTCAAACGCTAGTTGAAACAATGCAGACATGACGAAAAATTGAGAAAACAAGTAAACACAAATTTTGATGAAGAAATTTTGAGATCACAACGAATTATCGTTGAAAACCCGTGGATGACAATGAACGTCGTAAATTCTTGGCATGGCATCGCCGATTGAGCCGCGGGGGTTGCGCAAATCACAAGGTGACCAACTCACAGCTTCGCAAAGACGCCGTTGAAGGCCGCGCAGGCACCGCTCGCAACGGCGAGCACGATCCACTGGTTCCGCCGGGCCCAGGCCATCTTGCTCACGTCGGCTTGGTCGTTGTCGTCGTCTTCTGCGTCGGTCGGCGGCTGGCTGTGCTCGTCGTCCTCGTGGCGCGGGAGCAGCGGGCGGCGCTCGTTGTCCAGGGACGTCGTCTTCGCGGCGGCCATGGTGGGTATCTGGTCCTTTTGAGCGCGGTCGGGGTCGGCGGATGCTGCGGCGGGTTGTCTTTGGCGGAGCATTATGTGGAGAGGAAAGGAAGGAGGGAAGTTTGGGTGGTGATGACCCCTGCTGATGTTGCTGGGGTGGTGGCCGTGGTGGTGGTGGTGCGCTTGGCGATGCCGTGTGTGGGAGGAGGATGAGGTAAGGCAAGGACAGCAGAGCGCCGGGCCGTGCTGCGGTCAGTGTTGCGGAGCTGCAGATGCGCTAGCTGAGGTACCGTGTGAACGAGGACGAGTGAGCCGTGTGAGAGAGTCGGACGGGAAGATGGGGATGGGATGGACAGAGCTGGCGGCGGGCGGGCGCTTGGGAAGTCTGTGACAGGCGGCGCGGCGTGTCTCAGTGAGTGGCGGTGGTGGTGGCAGATAGGGGTGAGATCTTGCTTCTGGTGGTCTCCAGCTTCCGGACTAGGGGAATCCCCGTTGAAGAGAAAACGTGTGTTTGTCGTTAGTCAGCATAGACGTCCACGCCCAAATGATCCATGCTTGTGAATGACTTCAAGTATTTGTGATGACAAGATTGCTAACCGCCAGCTTGCTTTAGACCATGCTACTACTCGCCCTGCTCTCGCTTCTGCTGCGAGGAAATGGCAACTGCGTCTCTGGTCCGATTTATGCCAACAGCCGGGTAGAAAATACCCTTGTCACCACGGTAGGGTACGTACCTCTTACACCACTCTTATTTAACCAACACCGTTCCTCGACTCTCGTCTCTTATGGCCTCCTTGGGGACTTACGGCGAAGTACAAGAAACACCTTCCTTTCAGATTTATGCCGCCCGTTTTGTCGAGTTTCTTCATTCCGGAATTCTTCAAAAAGCACGGGTTTCAACCACACAATGTCATCCTCAGGTCCCGGCAATTTCAATTTCGATGCTCGTACGCTGGAGGAGCTGTCGAATGAGCGTGCCATCAACCACCGGGATGTCTTTTCCAACATCGGTCGCTACATGATCAAAACTGGATATCACACATGGGGATTCGTGGTCTATCGCTGCACGTACGATGATGACGACCTCTGGAATCGATATCTCACGCAGCTGAAGCAGTTCTGCCATGAAGAGCTCGTCAAGGGCCGCAGAGCCGAACTGTTGGAAAAGCATCTCGATTGGGTCGTGATAGAAGACCGCACCAACCTGGACAACGCGTCAAAGTCCGACGTCAGGCGTCATTTTGATGGCTGGGTCTCTGAACAGGGTCTCGTCGAGCCACCGTCTGGTGCTTTTCCACGACCCAACGTCACAAAACTTCCCCGCTTCCGATTCTGCCTATTTGTCGACAAGGCCTGTCTCGAGACTGTCATCCAATTTCAGGAAGCTGACCCTGGCCACCCGCTTCTCAGATCTCTTTTACCCGCCATGGTCATTGTCGTGCTTGATCGCGCGTGGACTCCGGATCGGACCCATGGCAACGTTACTATGAACGACGGCGGCTACCCGTTGATTGACGGCTGCGACCGCAAGTATGTTGGATGGAAGTACATGAACGCATTCTTTATAGCGGGAACATACAACGATCTGCATGCGGTAGAATTGGACGACTGGCAAGACTACCTGAGACCCCCTGCCATTGGCCCTCTGGGTAAAATCTCGATGCCTAGTTAAGGAGCTATGCGAAGGCGGGCGTAAGGGAAGCAGATGTCTGCATATAGGTATGATCCAGTCAGACTTTTCATATTACCTTATGCATGGATACAAGACAAAAAATGGCACGCACTCAGTAAAGCAACTAGGTAGGTAGCCTTACTATGGGTTGAGTACTTCATTGTTCTTCCCATTATTCTTGTCGTCGCCCTTGTCGTCGTCCTTATCATCGTCCTTGGTCCTTCTCATCATGCCATCATTCCTATTCCCCTGATCGCCCTTTTTATCCCCATCTGCCCGAGTGATATAAGTAGCGCTTGTGCTGAAATGGTCACCTTCACAGGTGGCTGAGCGGCCTACCTTAGCCAGGCGACTAGGCAGTAGCCGTTGAGGTGCGGCAGGCACATATAAACGTGCAGAAGTACTTGCAAGGCAGAAACTTCATGCTGACAGACGCAGGCACCATGCCATCCAGGCCAAGCCGGTTCCTGGCTCGCCACCTACAAACTATGGGTTGTTGATGGATTCCGGTTTCACACGCACGCGAGATTTTCATGTACAGATTCGCATATGCAATCAGTATAAGCCGCGTGGCAGTTCCTCGCCAGCGCTCGCGCACGCAGATTACCTTCAGACCTCGTCATTGTTGGAAGCTAAATGGTTGATTCTAGGCCGTAAGCCCCAACGCCAGCCTCAATCGTAAACTCGCTCAGCCTTCTGAGCGCCCACTGGGATGGCTTTGTCCAACGTTGCAAAGCCCAGATGACCCATATCGCCAGTCAGATTGACGTCTCCAACGCACGCAAGCACATGTCTGTTTTTCCTAACCTGCTCATTAACATCTTCCACCGACCCGAGCTGACTTGAGGCAACATTAACGTATGGGCTGTCTCTTGAAGAGAAGGCAGAATAGTCCAAGATATCAGGTCCCCGTCTCAAATAGTTAAAAAGTATGGTGGCGATACCTGAGAGGAGCATGCCCGCAAAAGCGAGAAACAGAGTGAACAGCCAGTCTCGATTCACCCTTATCACCGTGGTCAGGAACTCTCATCCCGGTACCATTTTGGATACTCATTAGAATCTGTGGCTCTAGAGTTGGACGTGTATAGTTCTCGGCACGGAAATTGAAGGTACCGGTAATATTATGCAATGCAACTGACGCAAGCCAAAATGTGTTGAGGAGTTGCGAGAGTCTTTGAGAGTACGCCACCTCACCTATCGGATAGACGTCAGTCCCGTTCCCTGAACGGATCCCGATCGGCGCGTAGGGTGTATCTGGTTCGATGAAGTATGTCTCGATCGCTGAGGCGTAAGGTTTGACTTGACGGTCTTCTGCGAGATCGTAGAGTGATAGACCGGCGCGGACGAAAGTGCTCATGTACGCGACGAACACATTGGCTGGACCACCTCTAATCCTGTGTAGGACAGTGCGTGCAGTGTCGTTTGTTGACTTGGGAATTCGTCGCACCCGAACGGCGGCGCACTGAGGGCCATGGCAACGAACGTCAACCCCAACATAGATCTGTGTATTGAAGCATGTCGCATTGATGAGTCTAATGCGACCCCATGCTGCAACCTTCAATCGTAAAAGACTTCCAGTTAAGTGCATTGTCGCAAAATTAAGCCCCGGTGATTTGAGGAGATTTCTGTCATTGTTCCAGCTTGTTCCGCTTTCATTTGCAATCAAGCTCATCCAGGGGCTCTGTTTCATTAGGATTCCTTCTAGGGAATAGTTGGCGCTCATGTAGGATGTTTCGAATTCGAATGGGCGGCAACGGGAATGCCTGCTATTGACGACCATACAGGAAGTATGTCTGATGTCAAATCAACGTCGTATCGAACGTCAACTTCCGGAGTCTGGTCCCCGGCCTGGCAGTACTCTACCATTGGCACTTTGATGTTACCGAATAAGTCTTGAGCTGCCGATTTGACACCGCCAGGGCTTGAGAGGGCGGTGACGAACGCGTTCTGAATCCGGGAGATCACCTCAAAGCCGACAGAGGAGCTTTCCCCACCGTGTGGGAATTCCGATGTGAAATTAAGTAGCTGATATGGCCAGGACTCTACAGCCGTAGAGAGACCAGCCTCCATTACACGTAACGCGGCCTGACCACCTAAGGGGGAAAGAGCCCATAAAAAGAGCAATGCCGGAGTCAACATTGTCGCTGATCGAAGGGAGAGAGGTGCGGTAATTGGGCTGAAAACCGTTCGACAGCTCAGTAGGTATTCTAGGCTGAGCACGGATATCCCTTGCTCTAGCTTCCAAACGGCCGCTGCTTTTAGCAGACCGGCAGCTACATCAGCAAATGTAATCGGGAACACCGTAGGGCTGTATTTCGCTGCTGTTTGTAGAGCAGGAATAGGGCCTTGGTTCAGAGGTAGCCCACTGTTGACAAGAACGATGATTGCATAGATGATGAAACAACCAGCTGGGGGTGTTAATACTACACACATCCAGCAGAAGCTGATGAATGCTACCGAAAGAACCTGGCTTTCTGAGAACCTGTCTTGCCACTGGTGCTCCTTTATCTCTTATAGAGCAACTGCTCATCAAGCGCGTAGACGCATCGTGCTCGGTATCATCTGTTGTGATGTCTAAAGGTGAGTTCATTATTACGATATGTTAGGTATAAGATTATAATGTATGCCATATATGTACTTGGTAAACTCTCACAATCAGTTATATAGATAGAAGATTTACTATTGAGTGCTTATTACATGCAAGTTCAATAAAATTGATGCTAATAGTGTAAATATTCAAGGACGTAGCCGGGATAGGTCGTTCATCTTAAGTTGAAAACCTAGCCAGTCTACTGTGGTGGTACTGATAAAAGGAGGCTGCAACTCGTTCTTGCCTAGATCTTAGCTGTCTGAATAATTCCCATTTCAGAGCAGCTGGAATGCACATTAGGTTTGTAACTTAATTCATTTGGTAGTTGTCCGACCTCGTGTATCGCTTTGTGTAGCTTAAAATTCAGCAGCATTCGCCCTCTTAATTCTCATGGGAACGTACTCAGTCAGCTTGTATAGATCACACACGTACTCACCATACTCACTCTATGCTTACCCCAGGCGTCGTTTCATTATATTAAAGAAGCCGTCCAATGTGGGAAGTTGAGTGAGGTAATCGCAGCTGAACAATAAATTGCCCTGCCACCATCGAGAGCAATGTTGAAGACATTCGTTTGTGTAGTGGGCCTGGCTTGGTTGCCATCCGCCCTAGCCCACTAACTCCCACCCCAGGCAACTTCTTGTGAGTCGTTCAGACTTACTTAGCGCTGCTTTGAGGCACTACATACTACTTTGAATTGCTCTCATTGACTGAATAGTCACATCAAGTCTGGATACGTCTAGATGGCCTATCTATGCTTACTCCTATATGCTTATGATTCTGCGTATATCTCCTAAAGTCAACGTCCTTCATGCGGACGGGAACGAAGCGACCTGTACCGTTAGCTGCTCGGTTTGAGTCACTTGTATCCAGCTGCGGCGTAACCAGCTAGTCTTATACCAGCCCCTCAACATACGTCCTCAGCCCAGCAGCCACCTCTTTTGAAGTTATGTCACCAACTGCGGTGGCACAAAGCTGGTCTGCGCAGCGCATGTCCTAAGAATGCGCCGCGACCTATCACGTCCAGGAGGGCGACACTTGCGATAGCATCGCAGAGGTGCAGAGCGTTCCGAGCAGAGAACTCTTGGAGGCCCACGACCACCTCGACGACAGGTGCGGCGGAATCAAGGTGGGTCAGAACTTGTGCTTGCCGGCTCAGTGTAAGCTGCATCTGGTAACGCCGGATGATTCGTGTGACTATGTCAAAGTTGGGTATGGCGTCAGCATAGACAACCTGTCCGAGTGGAATGCGAGGCTGTACATCCAGTGGAATGGCTTCAACACAGCTATCTCTGGCTTCATTTGCATAGGGTGAGTAGTACCTTAATAATGCAGAGCCTTTCGCTTTCACCTTGCTAAACTGGTGTTCTCGAAAGGCCTCCCGTCCTGTAGGCCAAGTCGTTCGAGGTGCCTACAAACTCAACGCTCAGAAACAAAGCAACATACCACGTCACGACTCTCTCATCAGCTAAGACAAGTGGCCGCCTACAGACGACGTCAATAGCGCCATACGTTAAGTCTTCTGCTTCAGAATCATCTAGTCGTACCTTGACCGGCATAGTACAGAACGAGGAGGCGACTGATAAAGTTTTGTCATCAACGACGACAGAAGTGAGGGACTCTGCTTAAAGCACAATCCCAACCATGGTCGTTGCAGATGACTAGGGCAACGGGTCATCCGCGCAACGCACCAGGCTGGCCTGTCTAGCTGGACCGATTGTATAACTCTGGGTATGTTAGCAGGAGTTTTGCTATCCGGGTGGATAGTGGACATAGACAACGACGACGATAGAGATAGGGAGAGGGAGAGGGATAGAGAAGACTGGGGTGATAGGGACGGTAGGGACGACAGTAATAATAACATTATTTAAGAGACGGCCTGTTTTTCATATGCTATACTGATTACTTTTCCTATGCCTATACTCTACCTTACCGTCGTTAATTCTATTATCGTCGCTTCTATCGTCGTCGTTGTCGTCGTTATCATCGTCGTCGTCACTACCATCCGTCCTAGCTAGGTTCACACCAGCAGAGCCAGACTTCAAGCATTGTTGAAACGAGACCTGTCTGAAAGTTAACCGCTAGTAAATCTGAAGATATTGGTCGAAAGTAAACCGCGCCTTAATAAATAAGTTGGATCCAACGACAAGTGCCAAAGATTTTATCCGTTAAGATGTGCAGAGATGTCAAGACGTTGGTGGTGATGGAATAAAACCCCAGACAGTTGAAACAGAGACCCTTAGCGCTGTGTAACAATCAGGGCATTTTCTTTTGGTGGTGCCTTTGGTGCACCTCAGTTCCCACTCATTGCATGATAACCATGCAACAACTCGGACGCCTTTCCTGTTTCCGGCGGATGGGGCAGTTGTGGCTAGCCCCGGCTCTGCAGGTACCCGGCATCGGCCTCCCCTCTTTCAGATGGCTGGAGACGCAGCATTGTTCGTCAGGGAGAAAGGAAGCTGGCATGCGACTCTGATGTGTGATCTTGATGCGATCTTGCCTTAGTACTTAGGAATTGACAGTTGGAGGATCAAGATTGCAGAATGGTAGCAATCCTAAACTTCGGCAGAAGTTGTACCAATTGAGTTGTGGGTACGGGGATGACGTATGGCGCCGTAGCGTAACTCATTCATTGCATTTTTGTCCCCGATCTTCCAATCTTCGTCGTATCAATTCACTTTTTGTGGTAACTATAAGCTACAGTGGAACGAGTTCACCTGTCCAGACACTTCGATAACATTTCGACTGCACTCGGCGCAAAAAGACTTGATGGTCTCCCTTAGCCATTGGGAAGATTGTAAGGAATCAATGTAATTTATAACGAGGATAACACAACCAACCCGAAGAACATAGTACGAATATCATAGTGTAGGCATCCAATCTATTGGCAAGCCGAGCTTATCAAAAGTCTATGATGGTGCGCGCAAAACCTTGGGTGGTATCAAATGTTCGCAATTTGGGTGAACGCCCTCGTCCCCCGTTCCGTTTGCCATCCCTCGTTTAGTGAAAAGAATCAACCATGTAATACCTAAACGCCGTAGTATGCAGGCCTCCTTGGGCGCTGTCCATTCCCCAAGCAATGCGTACGTCTTCGTTCGTATACACTCGAAATGCGCTCATTGTGTCGTCTCTTAAGGGCCTTCTCCCGGCTTCTTCGAGTTGCAGCTAACGATCTTGACCTTGTCCGCAGACACCATCTGGCCGCCACTATCGAGCTTGAACTGGACATTCTTAATAAGAAAGGTCCACACTTCGTCGCAGAAACGGTAGGTGCTGAGGGAGCCCTGTGTTGTACGAGTGTCAGTGATTTGGTCTGGTGCAAAGAAGTCGCGCGGTCACTCTGTATGTGGCATAGATATTGCTTGGGGATGTTTGCAGTCTATGGGGAAGGCTGCCGAGGAAGTCGTTGGTGGTGCGTACCTTGAAGGTGAGGCGCGCCTTCACGCTCTTCTGAAGAGCCTCGGTGATTGCCTGATCAAAGTTGGCGAGGATCTTCATCGCGAGCTGCGGGTGAATGCGCTCTTCACTGATCAAGTCATCGAGCATGTCCGTCAGCGCAAGGCCGATGCTGTGGAAGGAGGTACACGGGTTAGTCTTTGTAGCATTGGAACAGCTAGTATTACTAGACTTATGGATGGCGCATGTACCTGCTACGGCGGTAAAGCTCGTAGAAAGATTGAGGTGCGGCTGCCATCGTGGAGATTTGATTCCTGATCTCCTGGGGGCGGGCGGCGGTCTGGGTGGTTGCGGGTGTGAAAGAGGCGAGGTTGTATTTATAGTGGCCTTGTTTGAGGATATCCTTGGATCCGGCTGACTAACACTTCGGAAAGTGGGTACTCGGCGCAGCTGCCTGCTGTTCCAGGTTCACAGTGTTGCTGTCAACTTCCAGTTGCTGCAGCTGCGGGTCTTGTATTACCTAAGCATACTCCCATCGAGCAACGGCGTCCAATAGACGCGTCATGTGACCTTACCGAATCTGGTTCGTCGGCTCTTACCTTGCCTTACCTCAGTTACCTACTGCTTGGACTCGAGAGCTCGACGTAGCTGCAACCCCCCAGACATCCGCTGTCAAATCCAACATCCACGACCACCCCTGGGGAACGACACAAACGCCGAAACGAGCACGATGAGTCTCACATATGGCCTGGGAGGCATTGGAGGCGCCCTAACCGTGGTGGGAGCTTGTACGAACCCCCGATCCCGATGATGCATGCCCCTTCGACACGATGGCCCGCGACAGTCAATCAAGCGAAGCTAACATAATGTTTTCCCAACAGACATGCTCTTCACCGGTTCGGGAGAGGCCTTCAACGTTGGCGAATTCCTCGAATCGATCTCACCTTACACATGGGCGGACATGGGCATCGGCATGTGCATTGGTCTTTCCGTTGTCGGCGCGGCATGGTACGAACAACAACACCCCTTCGCGAAGCATCGCATCGCATCTAGGCGGGGTCACGGTGTCTAACAGGTTTCGATACATAGGGGTATTTTCATCACCGGTTCCTCCATTCTCGGCGCGGGCGTCAAGGCGCCGCGCGTTAGAACCAAGAACTTGATCTCCATTATCTTCTGCGAAGTCGTCGCCATCTACGGCGTCATCATGGCCATCGTCTTCTCGGCCCAGCTCGAACCGGCCGAGGGCAAGACCCTGCACGACGCCAACAGCTACTACACCGGATATGCCCTCTTCTGGTCCGGCATCACCGTCGGAATGTGCAACCTGATTTGCGGTGTCGCTGTCGGCATCAACGGTAGTGGAGCCGCGCTGGCTGATGCCGCGGACCCTACGCTGTACGTCTTGAGCTTCCACCATCAAATGAAATCAAGTCTTGCTAATGCGCCCTGTCACAGCTTCGTCAAGATCCTCGTCGTCGAGATTTTCTCCTCCGTCCTCGGTCTTTTCGGTCTCATCGTCGGCCTCCTGGTGGCTGGCAAGACGAACGGATTCAAGTCGGAGTAAGGGATGTTCCAAACGGCAAGGAAGTAAAACAAGGGGAGACTAACACAGACGGCATTATGAACGTCGAACTTGAATGATGTACAGTGGAGCACTGCATTACACCAAGGCTACTTGGGCTGGCGTTAATGGCATAAAGGCAGGGCGAGGAACATCTTGTATTGTATACTACCAACGTATTATAGCTCCTCATCGAAGTGATTTCTGCGCGAGCGTGGTATTTTCGAGGATGATTATGAAAGTCAAATCAAGTCGCTGCATTATCTTATCGTGTACTGCACATGAACGCATAGCGATGTGCTCACAACTCCACGCGAATTTCGCCCATTAAAAGAGCCTCCACCTTGGTGCCCTTCTTCAGCTCTGTTCCCTTCGGCAAGGCGACCAGGGCATTTGCAGACCGCAGACTTCCAACTTTAGAGCTCCTCTGACCACCGGTGCTACTTGCCGATAGAAGTCCATCCTTGCCGACCGTTACAACAGCCCGATGGTACTCTGCTCGCTGCTTATCCAGAGTGAAGTCATGAGAAAGCGTCACCGGGACCTTGGGCAGACCAGTGGGCACAATACCGGAGAGCTTGTGCAGAGCCGGTATGACGAAGAGGTGGAACGTCACCAGTGCCGAGGCAGGGTTGCCGGGCAGGGAGAAGATGGTCTTGGTGACACGCTCTCCGGCGTTGTTCTTGACCGGAACTGTGGCGAAGGTAGTGGGCTTACCGGGTTTCATGGCGACGCGACCGAAATGAATGGTTCCCCCAAGAGAGCGCTCGATGGTCGGCTTCAAGAGATCCAGCTCGCCCATCGAGACACCGCCTGTGGTGATGAGCAAGTCGGACCTGCGGAGGCCTTCACGGAGGTTTTCCTCCAGGGATCCCGGTTTGTCGCGTGCGATGCCCAGATCGACGACATCGAAGCCCCACTGCCGTGCAGCGGACATGAGAGTGATGCGGTTGGTGTCTCTGACCTCACCTAGGCGAAGGCCGCCCGGGCGATCGGGCTCGATGATCTCGTCGCCAGTGGAGAGGATGCCGACGACGGGTCGCTTGTAGGTCTTCGCCTCGGCGACGCCGACAGATGCCAGCAGACCGATCTCGCCGCCGACGCCGGAGATTTGCTCGCCCTTCTTCAGGATGAGGTCGCCTTCCTGGACGTCGCTGCCGATTTCCCGGATGTTCTCGCCGGGCTTGACGCCCTCCGCCAGGATCTCGACCTCCTTCTCTTCTTTGTCATCGGCGGTCTTGGACTTGAGGATGGTGTCCTCGACCATAATGACTGAGTTAGCTCCAGGAGGCAGCGGCGCTCCTGTGGTGATTCTGGCAATCTCGCCCTCTTTCAGTGTCTTTGCTTCCCCGGGAGCCGCGTGGGATACTGCTGTGACGGGGAACACGCCCTTCATATTGCCGTCTTTGGGAACAACTACGGCGTAGCCATCCACGATGCTTGCACGGAAGGCGGGTACGTTCTCTCTAGCCGTGACATCCTCTGCTAGGACTGAGTTGACGATCTTGACGTCGACGAGTGATGTGACGATCTCCGCCTCAGGCGTGAAGTCTTGAATGAGGCGGAGGGCGTCATCAACCTCAAGCATTGGGTAAGGTGATTCTCTGTACCTTCGGGATGGGCCGAGACTTGGATCGTTGGACAGAGGGTTGTCACCTGGTTTCGTATGCCTGACCAGGCTCCCGTGTCCATGACCATGGGAGTGGCCGTGTTTGTGATCATTGCCGTGGCTATGGCCGTGACTGTGGCCGTGGTCGTGGGTATGTGAGTGTGAATGTGAGTGGTCTTTTTGGACCTTTGGCGCTGCTGCATCTTGGGATCCGATTCCGGCTTCTGCCTCGAGCTTCTTGACACCACCTTGATGCAAGATTCTGGAATCAGCTCCGGCGGCTTGCACACAGGCATGTGGAAGCGTCTTGAGGACGGCCTGAAGGTTTTCCTTGGCACCCTTCGGGGATCCAGGGAGGGTGATGATGACAGTCTTGTTTCTGACGCCTGCCACGGGCCTGGACATCATGGCAACTGGAATCATCAGTGATTTAAGCCCTTGCTAAGATATAGTGACTTACATGGGGTCACTGCCAAGGACGCAGCAATCATTCCATGAACCAGACCAGGAGCTGGCCGGTGAATGAGGGCACTAACAGCCTGTACCGTACTTTAGCTTCGTTATTCTGGGGAGTGAGTTAGATTAAATACCTCGGGGGTGCTATCCGATACCGCGAATCCTGTGCCTCCTGTGGTGAGAATCAGGTTGGCACCGTCTTCAAGCCCGACATCTGCCCACAGCATGATCTGGCGTTGAATTTGGGGAACAAGATCCGGGACAATTTTGCTGTCGGTGACCACCCATTTTCCACCGCCCTCTTGTTCTATAACATCTTTCAAGACGAGCTCTGACTTATCCGTCGAGGGGTCCTTGGATGCGGTCGTCGAGACGATTAAGATGGCCACTTTGAGAGGGGTATCCATGGTGAACGAGGCGGATCTGAGACCTGGTCACAGATAGTGGTGTCTAGAACACCAATGTAGAGAGAAAAAATCCCGGTATTTCCTTTTAATCCGAGAAAAATCTAATAATTGCCCAAATCATCAAATGGCTTGACAACATGCCTGGTGACGTCGGGAGCTTCCACAGGACCGGAGCTCGAGGGAAGCTCCCCCGCCTTAGTCAGCGACCTCCCGCATGGACCCCACTTCGAGCCGCTGTTCTTTGATGTCCTCCCCTGCACTTCCAGCTTTGACGCGAGTACGTACCGCGACTTGAACTTTTTCAGCATCGACTTCGACAAGCAGTCACTCCTCAAGAGCGCGCAACGGCACGGCAAAATGGTCCGAATCAAGGAGAGGTATATCCTCGTCAACATTCTTTACCCACATGACGCGTCAAAGCAACAGGCGTCCAATGTTCCGGATTTCGTAGTCATGCATCAGCCCACGACGGGGCAGCTTACTCCCCAGTCACTGCTGAAGGCGCTCCGAGTTGAAGTTGCTACGCTTTTTGGCGATTACGGCTCTGGCGCCATTGAAGGAAACCTATCAAGTCAGTAAAGAAAGACCTTTGTCACGGATGACCACTAATTGTGCCTAGTCAAATATCTCTCTCAAGCAACTTCAACTTTCATCCTCAAAATCAAGAGAGAGCACTACCGTCTTGTGTGGGCCGCACTCACATTCATGGATCGCGTCCCCCTTAAGCACGGAGATGGAAAACGCTGCTTGTTCAAAGTCGTCCGAGTGAGTGGCACGATCCGTAAGGCTGAGGAGGAAGCCATCAAACAGGCTAGACAGCTCGTACTCGCCGCCAAAGACTCCGTCGCAGCAGCAGCCAGCGGCACCGGGCCAATGTTCGCTCGAAGCAAGGCACAAGCCGGCGACGCCATCATGGTTGACGCATCAGACGTCTCAGATGAAGAGGGAATGGATGAAGAAGACGGCTGAAGGGTATCATTTGTTTTTGCGCACTACTTTAACGCCGCTGTCTGCCGGCACTGTCATGTCGCCAAAGTCCGGATCAGAGTCTGCCATCGCCTGGTCCGCCTGACCGCCGCTGGGGTCCTCCTCTTGCATCTTTGCCTGCTCCTCCCACTCTTTTCTCTCGAGCTCGTCATACTCAGCCTTGCGGTCAACCCACCGCTCCTGGATGTCACGAACCTCCAACATGGACGACTCATTACGCATGGCGACCTGCCACACGGTATCGTTCGCGCCCTCTGCGCTGCCGAAGATGTATCCTCCAGCTCTGTCAATCACCCTGAGTAGATGCATCATGCTCTTCTTGTCTTCGACCGCTAGCACCTCGAACCGGACCAGTCCGTAACTCTCAATCATGTTTGCGACCGCCTCGTTCAGCCTGCCGAACTTCTCGTTGCGCATCACGGGAGACTCTTCCTCCAAGTAGGGGATGAGGTATGAAAGATCGTCGACATCGGTGTAGTAATCGAGATTGAAAGGTAGAGAGTCGTAGGAAGCGACTTTGTCAATTTTGGTCAGGACATTGATGTGTGGCATGTCCATCTGGAGCATGGCGCGGAGGGAGAGGAGAAGGTTGGAGATGTAGAGCGAGGGTTGCGTAAGACAGAAAGAGTCGGATAGGTGCACGACGACGAGCTAGGAAAGAGTTAGCGGGAGTTGGTTCTGTGGTGAAGAGCCAGGAGGACCAACCCTGAACCCAAGCTTCTGCAGCTTGAAGAAGATGTTCCGTAGCGAGTTGTGATGGGTGTAAAGCTCAACTTGCCCTGGGCAGTCAAATAGAAAGTATTCGTCGTCGCCAATCTCTTTGAGTCCCTCTTCAAGCCATTCAAAGTTGTGCTCCAACTCCTCCAAAGCGTACAGAATGCCGCCGTTTGGTCCTAGCCTGTCACCGGCCATGATTTCCTCGAGCTTGACGAGGTCGCGAATGTCAAGGGCTTTCGGGTAGTTCGTGTGGTCGTTTGCGGGATCAAGATTCACGACGGAGCAGGCGCGACCTATGGCGCCCATGAACTGGTGCACTTGACGTGGCGTGTTAGCTCTTGAGACTATCGAGGACGCATCGTCGGGTCGGGGAGCTTACTGCCATCACAGTAGGTACTCTTTCCAGAGCCTGGGCTACCGAGGACGAGCTGCGCAAAAGGCATGCTGGGTGGTTGTTAGGTTGGATGCCTTGGATTCGTGCCAGGAGAATGTGTTTATTGTGAGGGATTTGCAGCGTTGAAGATTGCCTGCCGCACCAGACGGGATCTCGAATTCTTTCGAGGGTGAAGTTTCTCAGGCTATCTGCCTTACCGTCAGTGCCCCTCCATGCAGCATTACACAGCACATCCACAACGTTCTGCAGGTGCCGAACACTCCACTGCTCTGACGCCCGTCCTTTCCCGGGAGGCCTAGCGTCACATGCTGCACCACCAACCGCGCTGAGCTTTCAGCGGGCGTGGGGCGGCACAATTCGCCTGACCGCCCGTACCCGACCCAGCTTTCCAAGCTTCCATCTTCAAAGCTCCCACCCCACAAGCTGCTTTTTTTCTTCCCTCTTCTACTTTTTCTCCAACCACCTCTCTGGCTCGAGTCTCGTCTCAGCCACCAACAACCGGCCCTTTAAAAATCATCCGCCTCCCTTGCCCACGCGGCCCGGCTCTGCTAGCCCCGAGGGACGCGCTCAACCATGTGATCTGGTCTTTTCTCGCGCGCGCTATGCTGAACAACAACATCCTCTGAATGTCGTTGTTTCGTCGCAAACCCGCAGCCGCAGTCACCAATCGCAGCAGCAGTCATGTCGTCCGCCGACATATCGAGCGCCGTCTCTGACGCCGTGTCGGCCACAATGAGTACCTCTCCGGAGGTGCTCCCGTCCGCCTTCACGCGCGCGCAGGAGGTCGTCGCCGCCCAGGGATCGTCCAGCTGGTTGGGGCTCCTGGGGCGGTTGATCCTCGCCATTCTGTCCTTGATCTCCTCGATCCTGTATTGGGCTATTCGCATCGTTACTATCACGATACCTACCCTGCTCTTTACCTTGTTCTCGACGAGTTGGACCGTGACGATGAACGCCACCACATTGTACGCGTCCTGCCTGCCTTGCTATATGGGAGCCTGTTGCTGACTCCCCGCAGAATGGTTATCATGGTCGCCATCATATCCGCAGTCAGTTGGGTAGTGCGCTACCGCATCCTGAACATGTACTCTCGGCTTCCCCCGGAGCCTCAGAGGAAGGAGCCAGACGTTGACCTATTCCCCGACACCCACGAGGAGGGCAAAAAGGCCGGCTTATCCAGCTATCTGGACGAGTTCTTGAGCGCTATCAAAATCTTCGGGTACTTGGAGCGACAGGTCTTCCATGAGTTGACCCGCAGCATGCAGACTCGCAAGCTCATTGCCGGCGAGACCTTCAACCTGGAAGACGAGAAGGGCTTTTGCATCGTCGTCGACGGGCTCGTGGAGATTTTTGTCAAATCTGGCCGAAATGCCAGAACCATGGAGCCTGATCCTTGCGAGAGCTTCGAGTCTGGCTATCCTGCTGAGGAAGACATCTCTCCCGCAGGACATCAGCGATACCAGCTGCTCACTGAAGTCCGCAACGGCGCTCCCATGTCGTCCTTGTTTTCCATTATGTCTCTGTTCACTGAGGATGTCAAGCTCCGAACCACGGAAGACGACACTCCTGAGCCCAGTGCTGGGAGCGCCGGACTAAGGACGTCTCCGTTTCCACGCAACGCTGGTTTTCGGCGTATGCCATCGGACCCTGCAAGCCCGTATCAGATGACACCTCAATTCGCGGAATCCGCCGATGAGAAGCCCGGCGTGAGGATTGAGGAGCCGCCGAAGCGATCCGTCACCCCGACGCCCGCCAACGCGAGGATTCCTCCCATTTCTCTCGATAATCCGAGCAGCGGTAGCGCCCCTGGTAGCGCGCGTGCACCCAAACGCCCACCGCTCCAGAGTCGTGCAACTTCTGGCTCAGCCCATCCGGATATCATTGCGAGGGCAACTGTGGACACGACTATTGCAATTATCCCCGCCAGCGCTTTCCGTCGCTTGACCAAGGTCTACCCCAAGGCGACTTCCCACATCGTCCAGGTCATCCTCTCTCGCTTTCAGAGAGTCACACTCGCGACTGCGTACAATTACCTCGGACTCACTGGTGAGGTGCTCCAGACGGAGAAGAACATGCTCTCCTTCACCACCTGTCAGTTGCCCAACATGCTTCGGGGTGATGCGCTTGAGCGCCTGAAGGAAAAGTTCAACCGTGAGCGTGAGCGCGTTGGTGGTGAGCTCGAGAGCAAGGGTATTGCTCTACACAACGCGAACGCTCATCGTCGTCGTAAGTCAACGTCGACTCTGCGGAAGGACGCAATGATCCATTCCATGAGCACCAAGGAGAGGTCGTTTTCCCAAGTTGCTACGACAATTGCGCCTCCCAGAGAGCGCTCCTCGACGCACACTCCGAGCCCTGGCGATTTGCTGGCAAACATCCAATTTGCTCGCACGGGTGGTCACAGGCCCGGCACTTCCACCACTGCCGACATCGATCAGGTTGCTGATGCTCTTCGTCACGAGGGGACAAGTCCTCTTGCCCAACGGTCCTTCAACCCGTTCCATGCTCAGAAGCATCCGCGGATCTCGATCGACGGTCGCGACTCACTTGACGAGGACAACCTTTTCCGTCAGTCAATCCTGGAGTGCATGTTCAAGGCAATCGGCTTGGGCAGCGGTGGTAGTGTCTCCCGTGAGGCCGAGTCGGTCGAGGGCTCTCCCAGACTGTTCTCCTACGATCAACGTCGTCAGAGAGTCGGTCTCGGCAACAACGCGTTTGGTTTGATGGGCCCTTTCGAGTCCTCTGGTGACGGTGACACGGAATCCTTGACTTCCGGTGGGTTCACTTTGAACACTCCACCGAACGCGCACCTGCTTGCCAATGATATGAAGGATGACGTCGAGATCGTTTTCTTCCCTAAGGGATCCGTTCTGGTTGAGCAGGGCGAACGCAATCCTGGGCTGTACTATGTCATTGACGGATTCCTTGACATTTGCACCACGAACGAGGACTCGTCCGCCGACATCTTGCATTCATCCAGCAGGACTTCTCTCCATGCCGACTACCTGGCAATGGATGGATCTCCAGCGTACTCCTCTGTCGACCTGCTTGGTGCAGGAAAGGCTGGAGACACGAAGAAGAAGCAACCTGTTCGCCGCAGCGTGTCCCTGATTAAGCCTGGTGGACTTGCTGGTTACGTGGGTACAGTGTCGTCATATCGATCATTCATCGATGTCGTTGCGAAGACGGATGTCTACGTTGGCTTTCTGCCGCGATCAACCATTGAGAGAATCGCCGACCGCTACCCTATCGTTTTGCTCACGATGGCCAAGCGACTCACAAGTCTTCTTCCTCGTCTGATCATGCATATCGACTTTGCTCTTGACTGGGAGCAAGTCGACGCTGGTCAAGTCATCTTCCACGAGGGAGACGAGAGCGAAGCCATCCACATCGTCCTCAACGGACGACTTCGGCTCGTTCAAGAGAAGAAGGATGGCGGTGTTAGTGTTCGGGCAGAGTTCGGTCAGGGCGAGAGTATTGGGGAGTTGGAGGTTCTTACAGAGTCTGTCCGCCCTGGAACTCTGCATGCCATCCGCCAGACCGAGCTGGTTAAGTTTCCCCGCACGCTCTTCAACAGTCTGGCTCAGGAGCATCCAAACATCACCATCAAGATCTCTAAGATTATTGCATCTCGTATGCGCAATCTTGTCGATGACCCCTCACAACTGTTGTCCAAGGAGGCAGGTGGTGTCAACTCAATCAGCAAGGGTTCCTCATCACTCAACCTTAGGACCGTTGCTGTCTTGCCGGTGACTTCCGGCGTCCCTGTCGTTGAGTTTGGCAACCGACTGATGAATGCCCTGGCTCAGGTCGGCCCTGCCAATGGGGCGACCTCTCTCAACCAGTCCGCTATCTTGAACCATCTAGGCAAGCATGCCTTCAACAAGATGGGCAAACTCAAGCTCTCTCAGTACCTGGCCGATCTGGAGGAGAAGTATGGCCTGGTGGTCTATGTCGCAGGTAAGCATGTTTCTTTTCCGTCTCCCATCTCGTTCTACGTCCTTTATGATGAACAACTCTGTTTCCCGAGGCAAGACCGCTGAAGGCCAAACATTAACTCTAATTTTTTCCTGATTGGACAATTACTGTTTACCAGTATGCTGCAATGACAACCTGAACACGTTGCTAATCAATGGTCAGATACCAACGTCAACTCTCCGTGGACCCAGACCTGCATTACTCAGGCCGATTGCATTCTTCTGGTTGGCCTTGGCGATGGCTCACCCGAAATCGGGGAGTACGAACGGTTCATGTTGGGAATGAAGTCCACCGCGAGGAAGCTTCTCGTTCTCCTTCACGGGGAACGCTACTCTCCTTCTGGTCTCACCAGAGCGTGGTTGAGAAATCGCATGTGGATCAATGGCGGTCACTACCACGTCCAGATGCCACTGGGTGCGAATATTATGCCGGTGCACCCCCCTTCCAAGCGTACGAGCACCACCTTGAAGGAGAGGGTCCAGATCATCCAGGCCGAGATTCAAAAATACACGTCCAGAAAGGTCCGCAACAGTCCCTTCTACGCCCCAGACGCGCCATACAAGGGCGACTTCCATCGTCTGGCACGGCGCCTGTGTGGAAAGTCTGTCGGTCTTGTCTTAGGAGGCGGCGGAGCCAGAGGCATCACGCATATTGGTATTATCCAGGCCATGGAAGAAGCAGGCATTCCCATCGACGTCGTCGGCGGCACGTCAATTGGTTCTTTCATCGGCGCCTTGTATGCCCGCCACGCCGACGTTGTGCCCATCTTCGGCCTTGCCAAGAAATTCTCGGGCCGCATGGCCAGTATGTGGCGTTTCGCGCTGGATCTGACATATCCTACTGCGTCGTACACGACTGGACACGAGTTCAATCGCGGCATCTTCAAGACATTCGGCAAGACCCAGATCGAAGACTTCTGGCTCGAATACTACTGCAACACCACCAACATCAGCAAGAGTAGAATAGAGTACCATACCAGCGGCTACGCATGGAGGTACGTCCGTGCGTCCATGTCATTGGCTGGCCTGCTTCCACCGCTGTGCGACGAGGGGAGCATGCTTCTCGACGGTGGCTACATTGACAATCTGACGGTCTCGCACATGAAGAGGCTGGGGGTAGACACCATCTTTGCAGTGGACGTAGGCGCCCTTGACGACGACACGCCACAGGCGTACGGTGATTCGCTGTCGGGAGTGTGGGCTTTTTGGAACAGGTGGAACCCGTTCTCGGGTACACCCAACCCGCCAACGTTGGCGGAGATCCAGGCTAGACTGGCCTACGTGTCTAGCGTCGATGCTCTGGAACGGGCCAAAACGATGCCTGGCTGCTTTTACATGCGGCCTCCGATTGATGACTATGGCACGCTCGACTTTGGCAAGTTCGACGAGCTGTACCAGATGGGATACAAGTACGGACAAGACTTTTTGCAAAAGCTTAGAGAAGACGGTGTTCTGCCTCTGATGGAGGAGACGGAGGCCAAGAAGGCGATGCGGAGGACGATGGCGCCGCGAAGAGCAAGCATTTAGTAGATCAGCATAACAGACCCTAGACGCCGATACGAAGCTCATGAAATGATACCACCTCTGCGTTTTCGAAATTCCCTCAACCTTCTCTCGCCCTGACCTACGTGACTGGCATCGAAGGGCCTCATTTGTTCCCGCATTTGCCGTCGTCGGGCCAGACCGGCAGCTTCAGGGTCCAATCGAGAATCAGGGGAATCCTTGCCCTGTCCCGCGTGGCTAAGACAATAGGCGATTCCCAACGGTGGTGTTAGTGGCAGCAGCTGGTCTCATGATCATCTACAATTGGCCTTGGAGCTGTGTGCTAAGCAGCTGCAAAGACGACTGGCGGCTCAAAGGCACCGGGGGGCTGTGTGGGTGCCGTCCTGGGAGCTTTGGCCAGATGGAGTAACGCCCTGACGTCAACGGCTTGGCGGGTTTCGAAGGGCGGGCGGGCGAGCGCATTCTTCCGGGTCGAGCCCATGACATCATGCAGCTAACATGACGACAAGCTTCTGCCCGGAGCCCAATGGGGAAGCTCCCGAGTCCCCGGCAGTCGCCATATTGGATGTCAGCTAAGGGTGCGGGGGAATGCCAGCGGTGAACTGTCACTGAGAAATAAATTTCCGGTGCTATCCTCATTCTTCGGATTGTTGTTGGGGCCAAAGTGCAACAAAGGTGCAACCCACCCCTTCACCCATCGATAACACCAACTTGCTTCTCCTGCATATTTTGTCTTGATCCGTTCCTGGGCGAAAGCAAGCCACCTGCAATCCTTCAGATTCTTATATATGACAGGCACAGCTCCGGCGGCACAGCGGATCTGCACTTATCTCTTGCACTAAGAACCAACCGATATCGACGCCGTTTGAGCTTGATGGTCTTGCTAAGACGCAAAACATAAACCGGACCCGACCCAAGCCCACCCCACATCAAACAAAACCTTCTCTACATCGTTGAAAAAGTAACATTACGAAAATGGTCAAGGTCAAGCCGGGAAAGCTTCTACCTCCCGATCCACGACCATGGACCGCCGACCCGGAGCATCGCAAGCTGCGGAAGACCATGGAAAAGGAAAGCGCCGGCTTTGACTGGGGCCAGGCGATTGCTCTCGGCATGATTGGTGCCACGGTCATGTTTGGTATTGACAAGTCGCTAAAGAAGTGCGAGGAAAGGCATGATGAGGAGGACCGTCGCGAGGAGAGGCGGAGAGACAGGGAGTCGAGGTCAAGGCCCAGGAGGGCCACGCAGAGCGTCGCTGGCTCTGCGAGGGAATCTGCAAGGGAGTCCGCTCGAGGCTCCCTGCGGGGTTCGAGGTATGATCGAGAGGAGAGGAGGGACGACAGGAGTCGCCGCGACGAAGACGAGGATGAGTACTGGGACCGGTACTATGAAGAGCGGGAGGCCATCCGGGCTGCGAGGGATTACAGCCGTGAACCGGCCCGGGCGCCTGAGTCGATCAAGGGGCTCAACGTTATGAGGGATGAGAGGGAGTATGTGCGCGCGGTCGACCAGTTTGATCGCGATTATGGTTACGGCAGACGATACGATGATCACACACGCAGCAGAAGCAACCCCGGTTCGAGGTCGAGAGGCTATTCGAACTGGTGATGATGACGGGGGATATGCTCGACACAGAGCGAACGGTGTCACAACATACAACATCATTATACGAAATTACGATCAACACATCATGGGAAGCATCAACGGAGCATAGCACATTTTGACACATTACGAAATTGGATATTTCCAGAAACAAAAGACAGGAACAGAGAGACATTGGAAGCTAGATGTAGAAAGGCGTCGATTTTTCTTACCGCATCGTTATGGTCTAGCATATCTATGAATATAAACATCTCCAAAACATTTTAACATCTATTTTGCCAACTCCGCCTCGGTCGCAGCGACTAAAATGTCAAACGCCTTCTTCACATGCTCCTCCTCGATAACCTGGCTGCTGCCGGTGCACATCCGGATGGCGTATGTGCCGTGCAGAACCGTGGGCGTGAGGTAGATCTCGCCCTTGCCGTTGATGCCCTCCAGCACCGCCTCGGTGACCTTATTCCTCTCCTCCGTACCCGCGCCCTGCTTGCCGCACGTGAACACGACCAGCGCGAAGCGCGGGCCGGTGACGATCTCGAACAGATCGGAGCGGCCCTTGAGCATCTCGGCGAAGCGCTCGCCCATGGAGATGCCGCGCGTCAGGTGGGCGCGGATGCCGCTGGCGCCGTAGGCGCGCAGGACGAACCACAGCTTGAGGGAGCGGAAGCGGCGGCCGAGGGGGATCTGCCAGTCGCGGTAGTCGGTGACGAGGCCGGCCTCGGAGAACTGGTTGCGCAGGTAGGCGGGCTTGATGCTCAGGCTCTCGACGAGCCAGGCGCGGTCGCGGACCCAGAGGGCGGAGCAGTCGAAGTTTGTGAGCATCCACTTGTGCGGGTTGATGTTGAAGGAGTGGAAGGAGGCCAGGGGCGGGGTGAGGTGCTGGTGCTCGGGCAGGATGAGGGCGGAGCCGGCGTAGGCGGCATCGACGTGTACCCAGATCTTATCGCCGTCGGAGGAGAGGGCCTCGCTGATGCCGGGGAAGTCGTCGATGGCGCAGGTGTCGGTGGTGCCGAGGGTGGCGGTGAGGTAGAAGGGCTCGAGGCCCTTTGCGCGGAGGGCGGCGACGGTGGAGTGGAGGGCGGGGCCGGACATGGCGTAGCCGGCGGACGCGGGCGCGGGCACGGTGGCGAAGCGGACGCCGAGGATCTGGGCGGCTTTCTTGGTGGAGGAGTGGGCGGCCTCGGAGCCGAGGGCAACGAGCTTGGAGCGCAGGCGCCAGGTCTCTTCCTCCTTCTCCTCCGAGTCTTCGGGCAGGTGGGCGGTGGCCTGGCGGAGGAACTTGTCGCGGGCGGCGACCATGACGGTGAGGATGGCCTCGGAGGCGGTGCCGTGGAGGACGCCGCCGCCGCGGGTGGGCGCGGTGGAGAGGTAGGCGGGCGGCAGGGCGAGGAGCTGGGCGAGCCAGTCGAGGACGATGGTCTCGAGCTCGGTGACGGCCGGGGAGCAGATCCAGTTGAAGTGGGCGCCGTTGAAGGCGTTGGAGTAGAGCTCGGCGAGCATGGCCGGGTAGGAGGAGGAGCAGGGGAAGAAGGCGTGGAAGGAGGGGGACTGCCAATGGGTGATGCCCGGGACGATGTGGGATTGGAGGTCGGCGTGGATGGCGGACCACGGCTCCGGGGCCTCGGGGGCGGACGCCGGGAGGAGAGGGCGGAGGTAGCCCGGCGTTACGGAGGGGAGCACCTTGGGCTGGGAGGTGATTGTGTCATAGTATTTCGTGACTGCGGGCCTGTGTTAGCTGTGCTGTTTTGTGTGTTCGAGGTGATGTGTGAAGGGTGTGAGAATGTGAGGATCTTACTGTCTTCCACGACCTCCTGGGCCGCGGTGCGGAATTCGGATGAGTCCATTTTGGGGAGTTTGCCTTCTTGGTGATGCTGGTGTATGAGTTGCGCGAGTCGGTTGACCGGAATGCGCGGGCACCGCAGTTGAAGTTGAAGTTGCGGATGAAGGTATTTATGTGAATGACACCTTTTTTCTTCCCCAGTGTGAGAGAAAAGCTCACATGAGATGAAGTCAATTGTGCTGTGTGCTGCCCCTGGTTGCGTGCCCCTCTACCCCTCCAAAAGTCCAAACGGCCGGGATTAGCCAAGTTGCATGTTTCCCATCCTTCTGCTCACGACCCCACTCTTTCCAGTCTTTACGGTCCCCAAAAGTACAACATGGTGGGTATCAGATGTGCTTTCCCATAGGTAGATGGGAATCTGCCGCGCGGGAGGACGTCAAGGTGGTGTTGGCGTGGACTCGGCAGACCCTTCGGAACGCGCGGAAGGGGGCTCGGAATCAGTGTTGTTGGTTTCGACGTCGACGGACTGCCCCTCCAGGGGGTGCAGGAGATCGAGAATGTGGACTATTGCAGGGCGTACAGAGGGATCAAAAGCGGGTGGCATTGACGACTTTAAATCAATTTTGCGCCCTTCTTTGACGAGCTAAGCGTTCCGATACATCGGGAGTTGTCGTTGAGGTTCCGAGCTGTCCACGCATCAAGCCACTTACGGTCGTGACCGACATGCAAGCTGGGTATCGATGTCGCCAGGTCCACATGAAAGGAACAACTCACTGATTAGCTTCTCCTTCGCCATTCAGATTGCTTTACTTGTTGTTCTCTTCCATCTCACGTTCTCTACATCTCATTCGGTTTGGGTAGTCATAATTACCCAATTGGGCAACTCGTATGGCAACCATAGGTGGCACAACACCATCACTGTTCAGATTGTTGAGAGAGGGACTGCAGGGATGCAGTCCTTAGGTTTGAAGTCTGTATTATACAACTATATATTCGAAGCTGGGTTCGAGAGCATCGACTTCATCCCCAATATTTGATATTTCGAGGCGTTGCAATATCGTAGATGAAGAATGTGACAATATCACGTCTGGTTGTATGATCATGGGCGTCAATTTTGACGTGGAGCCTGCGCAAGCAGGGGTGACGAGAGGACTTCGGGGAGTGACTGTGTTTGCTACAACTTAGCACCTCACAAGAAAGAATGGAACAAGGTCAAGGGCAGTCTGTTTCACCGGACAACCCACGGTTGACAATTGGAAATTGTTGACTTCCCTACGAATTACGGACACCTCAGCGTTGTCTCGCTGTACAGGAAGGAACGGAGGCGGTCGTTGGTGACATGCCCTCTGACTGTCGTCATCTAATCATGTACTACAACACGGATCCTCGGGCTTACGAGAGCTTCTTTTTCGCAAAATTACTCAATCACACTCAAACATTTTGGTCGTACTGACGTTCATCCTGCTCCAGCTCCTCCCGTTGACCAGACAGTCCCAGAACGTCATTGGCCAGTAGACGTGGTACAACCACCACGCCGGCAGAGGATCCCACACCTCAAAAGTCCCATCCTTCCAGAACAACACATGCTCCGCAAACTCCCAAACCGAGCGCACGTATTCTCTCAAAGACGTGCGGAGCAGCAGCA